CAAGGCAGAAGAAGAAGACTACAGAGATGAAGGAGAGGGCTTGCGCCTTTCTGTGTCCAACCGAGCAATGGTCCCTCTTGCCGACAACGACGACACGGCGGGTGCCGACCGGGACGGCTTGCGTGTCTCGGTCACCAAGGACGCGGCTGGAGATCTGTTCCTTGTCCAGGACGTTGATAACGAACAACCCACCGTGCCCCATCAAACTCAAGAAGGCTCGTCGCAGGGTTCAAAGAGGCCGATCGCCGACAATGGTGGCATGGACGGTGTTGATGACGGTCATGTTCCGAGGGAAACAGCGTCTCTCATTGTCGACGCGGGCAATACGATTGAGGAGAATGGGGATAACCACGGCCCTTACTTATCACCGTCAGACGTCGTCATGATTGTTGACGAATCAAAGGATGTGTCGACGTTGATCGACACCGGTACTCGAGGAATTTCCATTCTTGATGGCACTCCTGCTATTAGTGACGAACATGGAACGAAAGACGACGTTGAAACATACGACGACGAGAACTAGCTAGGGCATACGGTAGCAGGCAGGCACCACCAAAGCGCCCAACCCTTCGACATTTCGGTTAGACAAGACACGTTATGGACCGTACCCAGTTACGTCGAGGCAGTTGCCGTTGCTTCAACATGGACGGATCTTTGCGAACATGACGACAGAAGGAAACCGCTCCAGTGCTGATAGACTCTGCGCACTGTCACAACTGAAAATGCGTACTTTTTAAAAAGGGAGGTATTGCATATTTAGCCACCACAAAGGTGGATGCCGTACCCCCGGACTAAGTTACAATGTTCGGTACAATATTGTTTCAGACCCTTGCAAACACGCGACGATGAGCGATGATTGCCGGCGTCCAGGCTTTGTAAAGGTCAAAACACGTGCATGAATACCCCGCCTTGAAAAACCGAACAAAAGTGACCTCACGTATTCAGTTTCAGCCATATCGTGGCCAATACCGGTACCGTACAATAGCCATTGTTTGTTTCTCGCATTCCAGTTTTTTTTCTTTTTCCGCACCAAAGAAAAATGGGTGGATGTATGGATGCAATCGAAACAAAACTCATAGACCATATCAATCGAAGGAAGATTGGTGAAATAGTCGATTCGATTCAAGTATGTATGCTTCCCTGCGATTTGTCGTCGATTGCATATATATTGTCATTGCTTCCAAATTGCGTTGTCAGCGTTTGGATCCATATTTCGTTCCCTTTTCAACTTTTCAGTTGCTCGACCATGCGCAAACGTCAGCACGAACAGCCCTTCTTGATTGAAAAGTGCCAGGCACTGTAGCACCCAACGCAACCATGCCAGTACATCAACATGTATGTTTGCTGATTGTGGTGTGTTCTCGGTTCCTTTTTCCATCCTTGTGTGTATTGTTGCTTTTGTATTGCTTTACGCTTGCTTGCTCATTTTTTGCTTATCAATAAAAAACGTAGTAGACGACAATGGCCGGAACAAGACTGAGCAGAATCAGTGGAATGGCGGGTTTGATTTCATCGAGAAAGGAGGGTGTCTTGACTTTATCCTTTTGTGGGAGCAGTAATCGATAGAATTTGTAGGCATCGTCTTCAAATTCGTGTACGCCAGTCACGGGAACAAACAGATTGTACTTTTGTTGGAGTAGTCGTCCAATTTCGACGCATTCCGCTCTCGTGTGTGCCATTTTGTGTTTCATCATGAGATCGACGGCTTCCTTTCCAATAAAGCATTGTTTGTAGGTTGTCAATCGGTACGACCGATCCTTGACCCGAACACCGCGTTGAAAGACGCGCATTTTGTCATCCAAATTTTGTTTGAGCAATTCGTCCGTCTTGCCGCGTGTTCCGGCCGTGGCGTTGGTGACGAATTGATAAAAGAAGCGTTTGTCGTCTTGGAGTTCATGGTGAGCAGGATCATGATGTTTGGTATTGACACATTCGAACAAGTTCATGTTGGTTTGCAGGAGTCTGCCAGCTTGCAAGGCTTCGTCGCGACTCTGGAAGCGACCCAATTGCTGGAGAATCTCCACGGCTTCGTCGCCACAAAACACATTGCGGTACTTCTTGCGGGTCCTTTTGCATTTGCGATCGGAAAGGCCCACGCTGAATTGCAAAGCTTGGGCCAGTTCGTCCACTATTTAACAAGGGTAGAAGAAAGAAAGAAAGAAAGAAAGAAAGAAGGGTAGCAATGGGTATATGAGAATGGATCGGTTTTCCAAGAAAAGATATTTATTGGATGAGACAAGATAAGGATCACCTGTCTTTTTCTTCGTCTGCCTTAGTTAACTCATCATCTTATAGCTTATGCATACAGTATGCTTAAGCCGACTTACGCTGCTGCTGTGTCATGTGGATACTTCCAGTTCCATTCAAATCTGCATTGGCGGCGTCCCGGGCCGCCGAAGTGGTCGAATGCGCAAATGTTACACCACGAGACATTCTTTCCTACTACGGTACATGTAAATAAGAGGATAAGATGGTTTTATAAAAAGGCAACGAGATACAGTGGCAATCTATTGCATGGATTGGTAACACCATATGGAGGCAATGCAATGATGGCGTGGGGATTCCGTTCTGTTGTTTGTGCTTTGATTCTTGGTGGTTTTTACTTCCGGTTCTCAACTCTCAACGGTCGAAGCAAAGATTCTTCTCGAAGATTCGATTGATCGCTTTGGTGACAGGAACATCAGATAGATGACGTAAGCCGTTCGAAGCTTCAATCGCACAGTTCCTCTGGACTTCGGAAAGATTGGACTTTTGGTTTCTCCATGAGCTTCTTTTTGGTTCAGCTGTACCATACTAGCTAGTACTACATGTAGCGACATGTAGCAATTTTAAAACATTATGTCCATTGCATGTCCATGCAATCCTGTGTGCAGAGATAGACTACGCTGTAGGGTGCCGCGCGAGTTCTGGCGAGAAAACCTGGCAAGTTGGGCAATCGCGCAAAACCCTGTGGTAGAAATCGCGGGAAAGATCAACCGTCAAGAGTCAAGAGTGCTCTTTCCTGCTTATTTGCACTCTCGCAGAGTTGGCGACTTTTTCACGACGACTGATTCTTGCTACTACTGCAAGCTGTGTTCAGCCCTGGAGTGGTTTTCCTGGAGATCTTGTGGTACGTAGTCTCTCCACGCAAGGCACAGGACCAAGTTTAGCCCCCTTTCCAACAACTCACAATTACCAATCTCTGACAACTCCCAACAACTATAAAGCTAAATGAATCAATCAACGATAAGGCATAGCCACTCCTAGCTAGGATACTAGACTAGACTACACGAACATCCAAGCACGGTTCTGAAGAAACATTGGATTCGATTCATTCGAGATCTCCGAGAAACGACAGTCATTACCTGGGATTCTCTCCCACGCCTCAAGTTTATAAGATAGCAACAACGCGAAATAAGTTTATCAACTCTCTCTGGTCTCTGCTGTTTTTGCTGTTGGCTCTCACTGCCATTGCCAGTGCAGCTGAAGAAAGCGACTTTGTGGGTCTGACTCTTCCCGATGTTTCTTCTGTGACCAGCATTCGCATTGCACGATCCTGTCCAGGAGGATCATCCTTTGACTATCCCAAGACCATGTTCACCATTCGACCTGGTGCTGCAATTGAAGTCAAGACGTACCCTACCAATCTTGTGACAGCCAGCGTGGAAAATGAATTCTTGACATTCACCTACCAAGATGTAGGACCCAACACCCAAGAGGGAGGTGTACTCATCACTTTCCCGGCCGACTTGCTCTGGGATGTACGGGCGGAATCCGAGCAAGTCGTCCAAGTTCTCCCCGGATTTAACAACATCTTTGCCTTCTTTGCATCCACCAGTGCCTCACTCACGGTCGATGGGAGTACACTTCTGGGTGAAGAAAATCTCCTGGTCGATGTTGGTACAGAGGCCAACATGCAATTCCACTCTGGTCGACCCATTACCGAATTGGATGTCAGTACATCTGCCAAATTCTACTACCAGGGAGACTTGACCGGTAGTAGTGCCTGCAGTGTCAGTACTTCCGGCAATTTGGAAATGAAAGGAAATTTGGTAGGACCCGCCACCTGCGACATTAGTACCAGCTCCCATGCTACCATTGAGGGCGATCTCTTAGTGGGTACAATGACCAATGTGGGAACCTCGGGGAGTCTCACAGTCATGGGATCCATATTGGGCACAGTTGACGCCAGCATTGGGGCGACTGTGACCGCCGCCAGTTGTGCCAATGTCGCACTCTCCTTCGATGGTACCTGCAGCGACAAAAATGTGGTAGACAAAACAGTGACAGTCAAGGTGGATACACAGCCATTGACATTGATGGGCACCGAAACATGTTGCCAAGTCAATGAAGTATGCGTAACCAGTTCATCCACATCCAGTTCATCCACAACCACCACATCCAGTTCATCCACAACCACAATCACCACATCCGGTGGAGTCACAACCACCACATCCACATCCAGTGGATCCACCTCAGGTGGAATCCTGACGTTTCCACGTTCCTACAATCTCTTATTGCTGCCATCTGTGGCGGTTTCCATGCTGATGTTTGGGATGTGGTAAGACAGCCGCAGACTCGTATATGTTCCAAGCAAAAACAGGAAGGAAAGCAAATGCTGGCAGGACCTCTGTATAGCAACCTACTGTAAAATCTGTGCAATTCGAGGAAAGGAAGAAAGAACAACACTCTTCGCACACAGTGACAATTGACTAACTGTATATCCATTACTTTTGGTGTGCATCTTTCACTAGCTAGCTTGTTTGATCTGTGTATACCAAATCCATTGTCTCCGATCATCACACCAAACCATGACATTTCTCCTGCCAGCCACCACAAATGAAGGAAGGAATGCATGGGTCCGTGATGCAACGGGCACCTCTACCCCATTGCATTGCAGCAATTGCTGGATTGTCCTACGAGCATACGAGGATACAACTGCCAATATATAGGGGACACTCCCCCGACCAAGAAGAAGAAAACGCCAAGCAGCCCATGAAGTCAATGGCACCAGCTATCAATGACTATGCAGATTCCGTCCAAGGCACCTCTCCGGGAGGGTTGCTGCTACAGTCTGTGCTGGGCATTGACATATACTCGTGGAGCCAACACCCCCAACTAAGGGGAACCCACAATCTGCCACAGCCTCCAGGCCATCATCAAGGCATTTTATGACATGGATTGCTCATGTGAAGTCCCTCTCAATGAAGCCATCATGACATCATCCACTAGTAGCTATTCCACAACATCCATCTATCGGTCCTCCATTTCTTGCCCCAGATCCCAGGGAACCTAGTCCTGAATTTCGCCTCTTCTTTGCTTTTAAAAGCCTGGCCCTGGCTGGCTTCGGTACGTAGATAATCCACCTACTCTAGATCCCGTCCCTCTTTATACCGGTAGACCAATGACAGTTCGACTCGGTTCGATTCATCATTCATTCATTTTAAAATCGGGTTTACTATGGATTAGAGAGAGCAAAGATGAGGATGGGGACATTCATTCATTCGATTCGATTCAAAGCTCGCCCAGCACAGCTGCGCGATGGAAACAAGCATCCGTTGGGTCCTTAGGTGCGTGCCGTTGTATGTCAACCAACAGCTCGTCGTCGTCGTCGTCTCGAAATCCCCTCTGCTTCGAACGTCGTCGAAAGCCTCAATACAATACCCTCACAACAAATACCACACAAGCCAAAATGACCAGGAGACGCTATTTTCCATTGCTTTTGATCAATGCTTTGTCATTGTTGATCCCGCCGTCAGGGGCAATCCACGAAACCAGGATCATGTTGGATGACATTTCGCAGTATTTTGAAGGCAAGAACTATCCATCGCAACGCTGGGATCGACTCTTGCAGTGCTTTCACAAGTGGAATGATACTGACCTCATTTTGGCTCAAGATGCCTCCTTTGCGGCCTTTTACAATGCCTGGCTCGTTGGGGGTGCGGGCATCGATGATCCTTGGGGTGGGGGTGGTAGGTACCACGAAAGCGTACAGAACAAGACGGCCATTATGGGCTCTGGATTTCGAACTTATCAGATACAAGAGAAGTGCAACTATGCTTCCAACGTGGCGTACTACAGCTCTGCCATTCGGATATGTGATTATGAGCATTGGTTCATATCGGAGGCAGAACAGGCAGCTCTCATGAAGTCCATGGTGGCAATCACGTCGGCGTCTTCGTGGTTTCATGGTACCCAGACAACAGCGGGAGGTGAATATGATGACATTACAGTCGAGTAAGTCCAGCAAAAAGTGCATCGTGAAGAAAATTCACCCAAGACTCCACTCGTACTGATTGTCCCTACGTACACAGCATGCTTTGCAGCAATTTGTACCAAATCGCCATCAAGGGCATAGAAACGTCCTCTTCTGTGTTCCTCGCTGCCAGTGACATTCCTTATTCCCCGTCCAACATTGTTGAAATTGTTGATGACATGGCATACATGCCTTTGAGACGACAACCTTCACAATGGCTGGATTACTTGGAGGAACAGTTTCATACACGAGTCCCCCCACGGTTTTTAGACACCACGCTGGCATTCTTTGCCTTTGCTTGTTCCGTAAGTATATCGATGGAGATTTGTGAGTGCCTCATCGTTGACATTGCCGCCCCTCTGGTTGTTGACGAAGACGGAGTTGAGTTCTTCCGAGAGAGGTACTTTCCCGAACTGAAAATCATTGCTGCACAAGAGAACTTACCGCTGTCGCCATGGAGGGGACTACCGCTCTTCTTCAAAACTTTTGGAGCAGCCCTTGCATTTATCTGGTCTGTTCTTTTTGTGGAAACGGGTTTTGCGTGTGATCAGCTCTACGGAGACACTCTGAATTTGACTCTACTAGGACAGTTCTCCAGCCCGATTGTGGACTACATTATCTCGGAGCTGACCAAAGCCCCTGAAACGGATAGACTAAAGGAGCTCTACCCAGGAGCCAGCTTTTGCCGGAGGGACAGCCCCCATGCGCTGTGGCACGAACTTTCTGGCGAAGCCCTCTTTGAGGCGTACGTCGTGGCAGACGAGATTCACCGGATTTTGACGAAACGGAAGGAACGAAAGGAGCTGGGGTTCAGCGAAACACTTGCAGCTACATTCAACAGCATTCGCGGGGCTGGAAGATAGCTGCGTAGTATCCCCAAATGCATATACATCTGTAAAACGCATCAAATGATAAACATCTCGTTCCTTTAGCATCAATCTGTTGTTTGACACACAGCGGGGTTCATTCCTCTGGCTGAGTGTGAAGATGAGTGCTCGAAATCTCTCGAGAGGACAGTCCCGTCGAGAGATGTTGCCTCGACGACAGTCTTCTGTCGTGCACACTTTGCATTTCGGTGCTTCGAGTAGAAAGCCTGCTGTGACTAGAAAACCTGCTGTTTGTAGAAAGCCTGCCGTTTGCCGGTCTCGATGATGGGGTTCTTGAAATATACATGAAACCCCGTTTGGACGACAAGTTCATGTTCTCAGACGAGAGTTGCCGGCTTGAGAGTTGCCGGCTTTCTTGTGACATGGCACGGCTCCCTGCAACAGCAGATCCCATCGACCTCCCGGTTTGAGGAGTCATTCCTCGGTTGAGATACTTTGGAAGGAAAATTGGCAGAAGGATTGTCATATTGATGACACACAGCAGTACAGAGCCAACCAAGTAGGAAGCAGTGGGGTTGTCCATTACCATGAAGTAGATTGGTCCTCCGAGCAGCAATGTTTCCATCAAGCTGGCCACCCCCAGGGCCAAATAGGACGACTCTGACAGTGTTGTGGGTAAGTTGCGAGCAACATAGCTCTGATAACTTGCAGTGGCCACACCAACAAAGTCAAAAAACAAGATTGGGACCAGGAACCAAAGGTACTTGCTGTCTTGACTCTTGCATCGGCCATGGGACTCCATAATTCTACCGTACTCGTCCACATTGCCCAAGGATTCAACACGAACATACTTGAGTGGAGAAACAATACTCCATCCCAGCAGCATGCCAACGTTAATTGTCATGAGAGTTACAAATGGCCAGATCACATCCTTCGGCTTAACTTGAATTCTCCGCATAGACATCCCAGAGTTCATTAGTTTGTTGAGCCTCCAGGTCTTACTGAACTGGAAATCACAAGAAAGAAAGAACGAAAAAGAAATCAGTGAGCATCTACAGCCTCTTTAGAATCAGAATTGCAGGAAGTATCTGTATGATGATAAGCCACCGTACCAATGCTGAAAAGGCAATCACAAACCCCAAGAAGATGAGCCAAGGAGCTGCCATGCAAGCCAAGTCCAGACGAGAGCTTTCTTCAATTCCTTGCATGCTCATTGGTATCACTGCCAATGCCATAATCATGGTCCCAACACAAAGCTGTGACAAGAACATTGGCTGCCCCGCTTTGACAACAAATAGTTTTCGGTTGTACGACGTCCAGCCAACAAGCACCAAACTCAGGAATACCACAGCGCCTCCAAAGAACCACCCTATCACCTGCACTCCCAAAGGGATCAAATTGTAATCGTGGTCCAGAGCCGGAAGGGACAGAGGCACACGGGTGGTATTGTCGTAATATTGCCATGGAATGAGATGGCTGACTTGTCCTTGCGTGATGGTGACAGCCAAGGTGCTGTCCAGCCGGATAAAGGTATCATCGGAATTGTCGTCACTCCAAAACACATTGTCGATCCTTACTGTGACAGAGTCCGGTTTACGGGTCCCAGTGCTTTTGTCGAATTGAATCCTTCCCGTCACCCCCTCATAATCAAGGTTGATGAGGGCATTGTAAAGCTCCGTGCCAGTGAACAGTCCTGGTGTTTGGCAAGCAGCAATGGCAAGGCCATAGGTCGCATCATAAAATGCCCGCTGGAAGAAGTAATCTTTGACGCCCGACAAGAAGGTGTAATTGTTGTAAATGTGTCGTTCTTCTGGTGGATATGACTGTATGTATTCTCGCTGCAGTGCCGGGCTGTTGGCAAATTCCACCATGACATCTTCAAATACACTTTGCTCTCCACCGTGCAACAGAATGGATCCTGTTCCCCGCAACGCGTGTGCCATTTGAAGTTGCTTTGGGTCGTGCCTATCAAACTCCAAAGACCCGGACGTCCAGTCGATCATTTCGGCACCAATCCAAGAATAGTCGGGATTACCAATCATTTCAAAATCCAGAGCGACTTCCACCACCGGTGCCCACGTGAACATAATGGCGAAAATGTGTCGCACTCCAGATTCTTTCATTTTCTTCAACGCGGATTGAATGCCGGCTCGATTTCCATCGTCATAGGCAAAGCCGGCATAGACAATGCCCAGTGTGTGCGCGGCATTTTGCAGGCCCGTGGCATAGGAATTTCCCCAGGCATCTTTAATGTAGAGACATGCCACGTGCGTGACTCCGATGGATTGGTAATAGAGCATGACTGCCTCCGCCTCGGCATCGTTGGTGGGGATGGTCCTACTAAACAGGGGAGCATGTTCGAGTTGGGAGCTGGTAGCAGAGCCACTGATTTGTGGCAGTTCGTATCCTTGACCCAACATGGCAATGGGGTAACTGACACTGGAATAAATAGCGCCCACAATGCAAAAGGGGAATTGCCCATCATTGGTCGATGAGTCCGTCGTCGTGGAGGCAAGTAACCCTTCCACGCCCTTCCTGCCAGAGAACTGAGTATCCCGGGTTTGAAAGGTCCAATCAAAATCACAACCCGCCAATCGATCGGGCAATGACGAAATCACAGTTCCATTTCGTTGTTGGACATGCTTGAATGCCAAAAAGGTAGCAATATTGAGATACATGTACGTGTCAATACCGGTCGACTCTTCGGAGATTCGATTGGATGCTCCCATGAGGGAAAGCAAGCGCCCTTGTCTTCGACTACCATCCTTGCTGTAGCGGATATTGGAAGTACCAGACTCTTGACTTACGGTTACATTATTCGAAGGCGCCATGGTGGATGATCATCCATCCATGAAAGTGTTAGTACATGTAGTGGTCTCTCTTCCATCGATTGGCGGTGGGTGGTGGCCGTCGATATGTGACTGCATGGAGCTCTGCATGGTATGTGGCGCCAGAGATTCAGCTGACGCATGTACAATATTTATGTGTAGATGTTGCTTCAAGCCCTGTATTAACTCTGGCAAGGATGTTTGATAATCGATGTACACCTTTTTAATTAATGGCTAGTACACTAGAACTGACCTAGTGTTCGGGTCGGGGGTGAATTACTGCAGTAATTGCCATTGCTTATTTTGAGCTCCGAAAGAGAATTGAAGGAGTTTTTTCTTTCTAATTCAAGGTCTCTCCTGGCTAACGTTGATGCTAACGGTTTTGTACAGTAGCTGCCAGGTTCGCTCACGTAGCATTGTACCAGAGACTTACGGTGAAATCTTCCGGAGGTTTAATCTTCTTCGGACTGCAATAATAATTAGCTAATAATTATTGGCCATTTCGTCAATTCATCACCTGCGAAGGTGTAACTCCAAACTCATATATAAGAAATCTCTAAATTCAGTTCATCCAGGCCTTTCTTACCATGCTGCACCGTTTTGGACTCTCAAATCCTTTCTTACAGCATAGAAGACTTTCTTACTAAGCCTCTATGTCAAGCTGGTTAGTATGCATACTTGGATACACCCCATGCACTTGGCTAAGTTGGTCCAACTTGCTCAGGACTTGTAAATTGGTTTGGATCAGACAGAGATGGTCATCACTAATTTTGCAGATTTAGGCCCAAGTTTGAAGCATTTTCATGGTGTCAGGTCAGTAGGATGTCATACGAATTTTAGCAAAAAGTGACTGAATGAAGTAGTTTTACTCTTGATCAGCACAAACTGCCGAATCACCAAAACACAGGCTTTACTCTGTGGTAACTTTTCGGTTGTTTGACTTTTCATCCCCCATGGGAATCGTCAGTATGATTTCTTATGCTTTGAGGTCTCAATAATGGGAAGTTTTCTTACAGTCACAGGGAAGTTCAGGGTGGAAATTCTCTTAACTTTTTCCAAAATCTCAGGGCTCGCTCTCTTGTGGTGGAGAGCTAGTGGAGTAGTTTCTTATAATCAGGTTTGGAGTGTACATGTGTGCAAAAGGAGCAAGTTGAACCTCTGACAGAGTCTCGAATCATTAGATAATTCTTTTGTTGAGGAAGTGGGCCGAGTTTCGATGCAGAAAGGCTCTTGGTTTTAGAGTTAGGGCTGTCACTTGCTACCATGCCGGATTTTGTTAGTGGCGCTTGCATTGGCACGTGGTTGGCTCGTTGCCTCTACATTTTCGGCACATGTACTGGTGGTATGGTACTATTACATTACATGTAATGGATAGGGTACCATACAGTACTGTATTACCTCAGATCTCGTCATCCAAGACCCAGGCAATGTTTTTGTCCATGGCCTTGGCAACGGGGTACTGATTGTACCTTTGATGTCTCCCTTGTGGATGTCGAGTCCCCTGGTCGTCGTGCTGATCGATGTGTCACTGTGTGATGGCCCTTTGTTCCCATCATGAGAGGGTGAAGACGAAGTATCTGGCTCAGTGCACTGCACAATTCAGACTCTCAATACTGCGGTCTGGGCGATCTCCACCAAGTAGACTTGGAGCTACAGACTGTGTTGGCTGATGATCAAACTCCAATGTGGTGATTGACCCCGCCGCTGCTGCCATGCGCAGTGTTTGATTTCTTCGGTGAGGAGGACACCGTTGCTCGTTCCTCGAATACTAGTAGGGTCCGCGGCTCTGGCTGTGGTTGTTTTTGTTGGGGACGTTCTGGTGGAAGACGACGTGGTTGGTGAAGGATTGTTCCACGACGTATTCCACGACATGCCAACCCGACAGAAAATGAGCCAATGGCTTTACATTATGTCCATACCCCACGCTGTCGAGTCTTTGTGATGGAGGACCTGATACTCGTAGCAAGTGCAAACGTGTTGTCAGTCCTTGGGCTTGGATGCAGTTCCGAGCTCCCAAACCAGCCATGCTGTAGAATGAAGAGTCAAGAAGTCTCAGAAGAAGAAGCTAGTTGGGGTAGACAGACATCTATCTTATCCCGGTACTACAAGGTACAGGGCGCACGTTCTCTGTATTTGTGGCTTGGCAAGTGTTTTGCACCTCTACCTGGCTACATGTAGCTAGCTAGCTGGCTCGGTTTCTCAGCAGACATACTAGCTACGAGAGTTGCTTCAGACGACCACTTTGTCCCCTACCGCATGGCCGTCTGCGGGCAAGGCAGACAGCTACTGTGGCTAGTTCTACCTCTACTACCGGTAAGTAAAACTCAAGAATTTCATTTCCCCCAAACAAAGGATCAGCCAGCTATTAGAAGGCAGATGTGGCTGGTGCCCCATCTTTCCTGGCTGTGGATCGGGTCATGGAGTGGTCTTACTAATTTTTGATTGCCAGTATCTGTTCTAGTAGCTACATGTGGGTGCTTCCTACAGTCAAGATGGAGAGGCGCAAGTGGGCACTATCCTATCATACAGTATCATCACCAGCCAGCCAAAGAAGCGGTGGCGTCCTATCGACGAAGCAAAGAGCGAGCGAACTGGAACCGTCAGCCAGCCACTGGCAGATAGATGCAATACAGCCACCAAAGCCGCTCTTTTGCGCTGCTCGTGGTTGTAGTCATGGCTGTACTAGCTAGAATAAGACCTGCTCAGTTGCTACCGGTAGCTAGCTAGCTAGCAACCTGATCAAGATGTTACGGTGGTACAGCAGTACTGGTATACACCTCCTCAGTGGAAACACTTGCTTTCCACTACCGGTAGCTAGCTAGTGAAGAGTCCTGCCTGTTCAGCAACCAGAATAGCTTGGCTGGGTTTGGCTGTGAGGAAGCAGGGGCTGGGTGCGTTCTTTGATTCGATTCTTTCTTTGTAGCTAGCTAGCTACGCTTGATAGTAGATTCACGCTGGAGTATCGTTCGATCGTCAACATGCATAATACCTATAGCCTTCCACGCCGTGGTGCTGGATTCCATGATTTGAGGGCCATTTGAGGATGTGTTCTTCGCCGATCTCTGGTTCAGCTGCAGTTTGGCTAGCTACATGTATTTAGCACCATGAAGACCGCTCCCGTACGGTCCTGACGGTCTCGACTCTCCTACCAGGCAGTGCATGTTAGTTAGCTAAAGAATCAAGTAGATAGAGTGTGTGTCTGTAGTCCATTGCTAGCTAGCTAGTAGTATTACAGTGTGCTTGTCTTCTTTGTTCAAAACCTAATATTTGCTTGTGTTTTTACTGTTGTTTTACAATTTGTACTGCCTGGTCTTGTTGCTGCTGTTGCTGTTGCGGACAGCAGACTGTCTCTTGTGTGCCATGTACATGTGTGTTTCAATACGAGGCATCATGAGCATGTGATCAATGTTGCGAATTTTGGGAAAGAGTCGTTGCAGTCGATGACGACGTTGAGCTTCTTCGGTTTCCACAGTCTCGCGCATTTCGCTCAAGACTTCTTCGCTAACGTGCCACTGTCGCGAAAGAGCCACAATGGCTTCCCATTGATGGGCACTTTGGAATCCGCCGACACAGGCACCACACATCATGTCGTAGACGACAGAAGGTGCCGCTTTGGAGGAGAATGTAGACGCTAGCAACGCACAGTCTTCTTGGAATTCTTCTTCACTCAAATCACCCGCTTGTTCCAACAAAGCATCGACCGATTCAATCAAGACCGATGGAGCCGATTTGGTGACCAAGAATCCCTTGAGCCAACTCGATTGTTCCTTGGTGTAGTCGTTCTGTTTGCCCAGTGCCATGCATAGTGCTTGCGTGTAGTGCACTTCAATGGCCGACCGTTCGTGCTGAGGGCCAAAGTGATCCTCGTAGACAAACGTGTGGAATCGAGACTCGTACGAAGTAGAGCAAGTGGAATCCTCCGTGTCCGTTACCGTAGCGGCAGTGTTGGTGGGGGTCATCATGTTCATCGAAATCATATTGTTACTGAAGTGTTTGTGTTACTGAAGAAGTGTTTGTGTGTTTGTGGTGTTTGTGTAGAGTTCAGATTGTGAGACCTGAGAGAGAGAGATTGTGAGCAAATTGGAACCTTCGGTTTTGTTTCATGCACGGTGTCACGGGACGGTTTTACAAAAGTAAAAACCGAACAACTGTTTTACGACTGTCAACCAACCAGAGATGTCCAGCCAGTTTTCCAGTTAAGCCCGCCTGAGTAACAATCATGACATCACTACCAGTTCAACTCAAATCATGTAGATAAGACAAACGTTTCGGCGGAAGTGATGATCCAACATTTCTACATGTTTAGAGACCCCTCCTACTCACCTTGCTGCTCTCAAACATGTCTTTTCTACACAATGGTTGTACCAGAAAGTATTAGACGGAAGGAAGGACAGAACAGCAGTTCTATTACTATTCGGGGGCCCACTTGGTCATTGTCCTAATTCCCCACATGGCAGGCTCATCTGCTTTACATGTACAGTCGTACCACGAGTATTCAGATCTCAATTCTTATTACTAGCTAGTCTACGTAGCTAGCTACCAGCTAGCTAGCTAGTACATGTAGTAGAGGCACCAACCAAGATCAACGAATATTGCATGCTCGAAGTACTGTATTGCCATGAATGCTGCACTTCAAACTCAACAATAAGAAAGATCCAATTTGTTTGTCAGTACTGGAGCTTTCTTCGCCAAGTGCTCTATTTTGCTACTGGGTACCGGTACTCATTTTATCTCTAACCACTGTCTTGCAGATTTAGGCACAAGTTAGGAGCATTTTCATGGTGTCAGACTAGTAGTATTTCTTGTGCTTTGAGGTATCAAACAATGGGAAGCTATCTTACAAGTTTGTGATATTTCAATATAAAAACATTCTTATCTTTTTCTAAAATCTGAGTACTCGCTTTCTTATTTGGAGTTTCTTACCATCAGCTCCTGGTGCAAAGCATACTTCGCTCAAAAAGACAGAACCGACACGGGTGAGCTCGCGGTTGGTGGTAAATGGGCGACTCCTAATTCAGTAAGAACCCCTCGAAGCGACTGCATCTTTTGTCCTATGTCTCATCTACTGGATTTGGTCGTTGATAACCACGAATCTCAATCAAACTTTGGTGGCAGGCATTTTCATCCCAAAGCATCTTGTCCAAAGAATCCATCTTCTTTCACAGTGAGTCTTTTCAAACTGCTGAAGGGCGATAGATAGTATAAACGTAGTTGAGGTAAATAAATGGATATTGCTGTATTTTCAGTGAAATATATATGTTTAATGAAAATGCCTATTGTTTACCGCACCTACCACGATTGCCTTCCAGGTGTTTTCATTCATACCAGTGTGAGCTCCAGTAGCTGCTCCAGTAGCTGCTCCAGTAGCTGCTCCAGTGTTGAAGATTTCAATCAGTCTCCGACCAGCCAAACTGCCACAAGCCACAAGGATATAATGGGCATGGCCCCTCGACTCAAAGGTACAGTCCGAACATGCTTGCCAGAGTTTGTCAGTGACATGCTCCAGCGTCTCCAGTCATAATTCAGTAATCGACTGTGACTCGATTGTCATACTTACTGTTATTATTTCATTTATTTCATCGGTGGCAGCCAAGAATCTAAGAATCTCTTCTCTTGCTTCGCTGTTTTCAAAGAAGTTCGGCGTGCAATTTCTCCGCTGCCACTGGCACCTGCTGGTTCTGTGTTCTGTAAGACCGATGCATGTTCATACGGAGGTAGCATGTTCACGAGCTCCAGAACACGTATGAGTCGAGTCTTGGCTGCATTGAGGTAGGTAGTTAGACTAGCTTCGTGTACTCAGCATGCCTACTACCGCTACGTACCGGTACAGTACATGTGTGTGTGCTTGCTGCGCGGTTGTACTTACCAGTGAAATACATACAGTCTACTCGCGCTAATATTACTTATTTAATATTACTTCTCGCTGTTATATTACCTGATTCTTCGGATCCCCCCCCCCAGTCCCGCATATCCGTGAATGCCTCATTTGCCGAAGCTGAAGAAGCACTCAACAAGCTCTCCAAGAGTGCCTCTGCTTTGGGCATCAACCAGGCGGCCACTGTGCATCTTGACAGGTTTGCCAGGGCATTGAATGTGGCTAGGGCTGCTAGGGCGGGCAAGCGTAAACGTGACGGCTCTATCCATTCGTACTTTACTAGTGGAACCGGCCCTTGAAAAGCCTAATATTACTTCTCTCTATTATATTACCCGAAGTCCGAAATCCCCCCCAAGTAATATTAGAGCGAGTTGACTGTACATGTACCGGTAGGAGGCTGAAGATCTAAAGATCTCGTTGTGATGCTGCCTTCTTCATCAGATCTGAATGCGCGGGAGTCGAGTGACAGTGAGTCCCGTCGTCGACGGTGGTCTTGCCAATGGTGTCACCGGTTTCCTATCAGTTGCGATATGATGGCTGGTAGCTGCGTTGCTACAGCAAGGAGCTAAGCCGGTTGTGGGAGTGGTACTTTGCCGTACAACCGTAGCTAGCTACAGTAGTAGCTAGTAGCTGGCTTTTGGTTTTCACCACCGACTCTCAGGTTCGCTTCTCGATTGCGAGTGCTGCTGTTCCAAATCAGGATTCTTCGAGTCAGGCTTTGAAGCAAGACAGAAGACTTAGCTCTTTTGCGTTCTGTTGATGCCGCAAGGTAGCCATCGAAACCAAACACCAGCCACCAACCGGGTTGATTCAGGACAGACGGTACCGGTACCTTATGGCGCATCGTGACTTTCGGCTCCGATCGCTTCTCATGGGGAGCACAGCAAGAACCAGAGTTCCCAAGTACGCAACAATTGTGGTACCGCCAGGTACCAGTCCTGGCCTCGACCACTGGCAAAGGAGCCCGGAGCGAGCCACACAGTTTCGGAACTTGCATGCAAAAGCGGTACATCGCCCACTTGGCTCCTCGCAACTCCAGCTACAGTAGTACAGCTGTACCGGTAGCTGGAAAGACGAGAGTCGAGAGGACAGACTGTGTCGAACGACTCGACTCGAACCATTGCGGTATCATCCTGGATGAATTCGCTTTTGACCTGATTGCAATTCTCGAGACCACAGTGGACCCAGTCGAAGCAGAGAGAACCAGAGTTGGATGTGTTCAGTTCTGTTGGTACCGCGGGATAGAAGAAGCCATCGCAACCACGCAACCGGTATGGCGCATGATGACTTTCGTGTGGTTTGCTTCGGCTCCGATAGCTTCTCATTGGGGAGCACAGCAAGAACCAGAGTTCGCAAGTGCACTAGCTAGTGGTACCAGACTTCGCCTCGACCACTGGCAAATGGCAAAGGAGCCACACAGTGCGGAATGCATGCAAAAGTGGTACCGGTACACGGCGTAGGTACAGCGCCCACTTTGGCTCCTCGCAACTCCAGCTTCCAGTTACGGTAGACCCACTGGAGTGAATTCGCTTTGGCCTGATTGCAAGTGACACTCTAGAGACTCTATACCACCATGTTCAAGTTGGAAGCAGAGAGCACGCTGCTTCCTTCTCATTTGGATGGTACCTGCACCAATTCGTAGTACAGCACCAGAGTAATTGACATAGAGCATAGAGGACCACCCACTGGCGATGCAAACGCGAATCTTGTGATGGGATCAGATCTTTTAGATTCCAGCATTCCAGCTGAAATAGCTTCGAACGCTGCTCATCATGCTGCAACGCTGCAACGTACAGTACCAAAAGCGTGAGCCATGGATGCTGCTGCCAGTGACTGAATGAAGGATCCGTCCAAGGCTCGCTCCTGAATGACAATCTCCAAGGTTGACGCGGCACGCGGAAGAACGGGTGCCCTTTGAGGGAAGGAGAGACCTCCCCGAAGCTCTCATGACAGGATAATGCAGGTAGCTATAGTTAGCTAGCCAGGGTAGCTAATATTGAGAAAGAAGTGGCATAAGTGGGCGCGAGACAAGATCATTGTTTGCTTTCACGGTGCAGTGCCAATAGGGCTACCCGTTGGTTGTGACTGCATGGTCTGCTGCCACGATGGCAACACACGCTTTGCTTGGCCTGTCGTCTGATTCATCATTCGATTCGGTGCATGTTCTGAAATCGCGCTCTTGTCTATGATACGTCGCTCGTAGATCCATCAAATGGGCCATCATTAGTGCGTCAAGGTCGCGCCAAACTGAAGGTTGCATCGTCATGGATTGAATCATTCTCACGTTTGTTCCTGCCAAGCCGCAGCCGAAGCAACTTCAGCAATACATTTCCCCCGAAAGGGTCATGTTCTATGGTTAGCTGGCTTCTCGCAGCCGTAGCCAACTAGACCTGTAGAGGCCACCCTTGCTTCGTAGGTAAGCGAAAAATAGCAGCAGGGACCATCAGATTGCAGCTGCATGCATCAAGGCGAGCTGTGGCTGCAACTAACTACCCTCTTTTAGCTAGTGTACCTTGGAGCTGCTCTCTGTGCGTCTTGCTTGCTTGCTGTCTTGTTTCCAGCCAACTTTTACGGGGATCATGTGTTGCTGTTTGGCTACCGAACGACCGGACCCGGGCGAACAAACGGTAATGACTTGTGCGATCTCTTGCTCGAGCAATGGCTGCCTGCATCAGAATCATGTCGAACCAAGTGCATCGTGCCTCGACGACTGCCCACACTCACATCATCGGCGAACAAATCCGCACCGCTTTCCAAACTCAGTAGTAAATTGTTGAGCTCCTTCGTACGTCGTTCGTCTTCCTTGGCATCTTGATAACTGGCACCACGTCTCTGTATTTTCGGAACGAAAATGGGCAATAGAAAGGAGAGGCAGATAATTGCCACCATGACAGCCATCGATACAAAGTATGCCGACGGGTTGCTCCTCATGGCGATCAAGAGTGGAGAAAAGACGATTGCAGTTTCGAGCAAACTTGCCATGCTCCATCCCAAGGAACGTGCCTCAGAATAGTAGGTGGATTCATCTCGTACTTTGTAGCATTCGAACGATGCAAAGAGGATTCCCACGAAATTGCCCAATCCAATGAGCACCTGGAATATGAATGCCAGTTTTGGATCCGTCGAAGTGCAAGTTCCGTAGGAGCTCGTCGTTCGTCCGAATTCATCATAGCCGTGCAGAAAGATGCGCTGATATGTGTTGGGTGCAACAAGGGTCCAACCAATGAGCATGGACACGCACCAGACCAACAACATGGCAAACGGTTTCAGGACATCCCCCGGTTGGACTTGTACCCGTCTGAGTTCGCGTGCTCCCTCCATGAGTTGTTCCAATCGCCATGTTTTGGAGACAATGGCCGACAGTGCCATGACAAATCCGACAATCCATAACCACGGAATGCTCATGCACGCCACATTTAATGCGGGCGTGGATGTCTCTCCTTGAAAACTCATGGGGACAATGCTGGTGGCCATGACCAGTGTCCCCAAGCAGAGTTGTACCAGAAACACGGGCTGGGCAGCAGTGAGTACAAACTTGGTTCGATTTCGAATCGTCCAAGTCATGAATCCCAAGGAGAGTAGTACTATCATGGCAGCAATGGCGAGACCGACAATTTGCAAGCTCGTGGGTATCAGATTGTAATTGTGATTGGTCATGGGTGGATACACATCTGGTGGGATGGTGGAGTTGCTGGCGTAGACGAATGGATTGTCGGTTTGGAGAGAAATATTTCCGCCCGTGACGACCGCCACGACACGAGAATCATAATAGTACTTGCTTCCACCAATTCTGTTGCGACTGCTGTTGTCGTTGGAGAGAATCAAATTGCTAATGTGTACCATGGAAGAGTTGGCAGTGCGAGTCCCCGTGATGGGATCAAAGCTGACATGCCCCGAGACGCCGTCAAATTCCAACTGCAACAATTGTTGATGCAGCTGTTCTCCGGTAAAGTTTCCAGGAGTTTGACAGGCAGCCAGACCGAGGGCGATGACGGCATCGTAGGTGTAATACTGATACTGTTGCAAAAACTTGTTGGCTGGAAAGGTATAGTTTTGGAATTGCTCAGGTTCTTTGGTTCGTGCAATGAGCATTTGTTGCAAGGCGGGTGCTTCTTGAAATCGTTTCATGGCCGTATTGAGGGCAATGTTCTGTTCGAGATGTAGATAGACAATGCCCACTCCGTGCAATGCTTTCGCTAATGCAGGATCTTTGTGTCCAAAGACTGGATCGGTCCAATCGGAGAATCCTTGAAAGAACCAGGCATAATCCTCCGATTGTCCCAACCCCATGATTCCAAGTTGATGTGCTTGTTTCACGACCGGGGCGTAATCCACATCTTCCAATGCCGCCACAATGTATCTTACTTGCGACTGTTGCAGGTCCAGCAGTGTTTCTAGAATGCCATTATTGGGTTTACTTCGTAGAATGGCAAATCGTAGAATGGTGACAGTGCTGATCCCTTGATTATTGTGCTGTGCGTCAATGGCATACTGCTTGGCCGCGCGGTTTAGATTGGCATCAAACTCGACCCCGTACGTGTCATCGACATAAAAGAGAGAGGCAATCCGCGTGACCCCTAACTGTCCGACTAGATAGGCCATGGTCGCCTCGGCTTGTACTTGTGTATTGGGAATGGTCCGGGCAAAGAGCGGAGCACTATTGAGAGAATCCGACATGGCTTCACCGGATATTTGAGCGACACCCAATCCACCTCCCAAGACGGTATTGACGGTCTTGGTGACGGACGAAAAGAGAGGTCCCACCACGGCAAACGGATTCGTACTACTAGAATGAACAGTGGCCGCCAAGGCTTGTCGAATGGCTTCGGCTTGGGAAAACTTTGGGTCTCGAATCTCCAGCGTCCAATGGAAATCGCAATCGTCGCCAATCAACTGCGGCAAGTGCGGCAAGACGTGACCTCGTCGTTCTTCAAAATCATGCCATGCCAAGAATGCACTCACAGTGATTCCCATGAACTTGTCGTCAATGCGGCGTCTGCGTTTGGTACTGCTGCTACCGGTGGTAGCATTATAGGTTTGCTGCAGAGTGGTGTACCCATTCAGAGCCAGCAAGTGTCCTTGCCGCATGTATTCACTGCTATTACATGTAGCAGAAGTCCCTTCATCTTGACCCCGTATTACCCTGTCAATGTACGATGGGGTAGCTTCCATTAGTACTTATGCTATCAAGTTGGTTGTTGTGTCTGTGGACGTCGAGGTACTACAATGCAGTTCGGTACCGGTCCAGTTGTAGAGAACAAAAAGAGAAATACTAAATAGATACGTTAAGGAGCCGAGGGGGGTCGAAGCTAGGCAAAGCAGTGGCTGATGTGGTGGGTGGCGTGAAGCGGTAGGGGAACAAGTCAGTGGATGGAAGAGTAAGGAAGATTCAAATTTATTTGATTGCCATTGCACCTTGGTGCATTGCCATCAGACTCAACGCTTTACGTGATGTAGCTACCGGCTACCGGTACTTACTTGTAACTAGAAATCGAATCCGAACGTGACGAACCTAGGTAATCCCGAATGACGCCTCCACCTCCACCTTCCTAAAAGCTACTAAGAGCGTTAGCAATTAAAAGCCTCTCCCCCGGCCGGCTTCCGTTGGATAGATAACTTCCCAGTTCCCTACGGAATATTCTGTTAAATAATCATCATTCTGCATGCGAACTCTAAGAACACGGAATGATCTCCTTTGGAACAGCCGAGGACAAAGACACGTGCCAAGATTCTAATCAATATTAACAGCTCATGCTGGCTTATTGTATAATCTTTCATAAAGCCAAGAGGAGGTACAACAGCAATGACAAACGCCAACAATAAGCTTTGGTAACACTGAATTCGTCTTTCCCATCTAGTTAGGTTTATGCAACTACGTGTGTGAACAACTAACTGAAACTAACTAGGAAAGAAACAAACGTTCACCAACAATCAGTTGCCCAGACAGCAGACAGCAGACACCATTGCCTATTCGGACGTCTGCGAAAGCCTGCCCTTCTTCAAGCCCAAGCTTTTTCTCGACATTTGCTTTCCCAGCAGCTTGTAGTAGTCATCACCCCTCTGCTGGGTTTCGGCACAACGGACCAATGTGTTGAGCTTCGCACCACTTCGGACACTCGTGTTGAACACACGAGCATACAAAATATCACGGCGGACCCCCAGCCGGACCTTGTCCCACTTGGAGGCAGAAATCTCAGTCATTGTCACAGCTTCCAAGTCTTCCGGAGTCACCTTTCTGCCACTCGCAATGATATTGTCACTTTCCTTGGACTCAAAGGCGGCAGGCGCCAACAGAATCACCACCAGATTGATCACCACCTGCCACACCAGGCTGCCCGCTCCGGCGCCAACACAAAACAACCACTGGTTCTGCGTGAGACCACCCGGGACGACATTCACCGCTTCCCCGCCAACTTCCACAATAAAGATTTGAAGCGTAAAGGTCGTAAACATAATGCCCACAAACATGGGATTGGTAAACATCCCCTGAAAGACATTCCATTCCGAGAGAGTGGTCTTGAGCTTTTCAGGTGTGGGAAGACGCCTCGCGTTGAACTCGTTGAAAAGCTGTAGCATGACAAAGACATTGAAGAAGAGAGACCAATTGAGGGTACCCTTGGTAGGCTCATGTTCAATAGGAGGGTCAATGATAGGGAGAGTCTGGGGACTGAACAGAACCCAGCAAAGGATGATAATCTGGTAGATCGAGTGGCCAACGATATTTCCAGTCATGGTGGGCCTGAGTGAGTGAGTTCACGCGTGAAACAGTAGATTGCAATGGACGAAAAATAACTGGGAGGGTGAGACATCACATCCAAAACATAGCAAAGATGAACAAATCAATTAAGCCAAGTTTACTCACGAAATGACAGGGCGTCGTTTGCCGTACTATACACACAGAAACATGGAGCAGCAGAGAAAGGAGAATGGTATCAAGGTGAGACAGCTGATCACATAAAGCACGGGTTCTTCTATCAACTTTTTGGGCTGTTGAATAATATTACTCACAGGCATTCGATCCAACAACTCTTTGGTGGGCTGTTCGGTGGCCAAAGCCAAGGAGGCCAGACTGTCCATGATCATGTTCACCCACAACATTTGCACAGCACTGAGCGGTGATTCATTGTACGTAAATGCACCAATGACGGCGAGCGTAATGGCTACCACATTCACAGTGAGCTGAAACTGAATAAACTTGGAGATGGAGTCAAACACATTTCTTCCCCACATGACCGCTTTGATAATGGACGAGAAGTTGTCATCGAGCAGAATGATATCACATGCCTGTTTTGCAGTCTCGGTTCCTGCAATACCCATGGCAAATCCAACGTTGGCAGACTTCAATGCAGGGGCGTCGTTCGTTCCATCTCCCGTCACAGCAACCACTGTGGAAACGTGACAAGTCATTGGAAGCATGAATCAAAGCCAGCAAGCATTTGTTGGTTGTCAGTCTCGGGGTGGGCCATGATTAATTTTCTGCTGCTGCAACAAACGATAACGAGACCGACCAGCTTACCTTGATAATCCGGAAAGATTCGAATTCCATGCTCGCGATAGAGCTCGGCACATCGAGCCTCGTCAAGGAAGACTCTGCTCTTTCGCATTCCACGAACCAGAGTAAGCTGCAACCACAAGGAGACAGACAGAAACAAGTTAGTTTGGATTGCATGTCAGTCTCCATTACCCAGCCAAACCACTATTTCTATTTACCTTGTCCTCCGGTTGACAACGCGCCAATACACGGAGCGTGGGCCACAAGTCATCAAACGCCTGTTGATCCATCACCTTGTTTCCCGCGTCATCCAACAAGAACGGTTCGGCAAGACTGTCAACAGCGTCATTGATTTTCGGATCAAAAACGCGTCGTACAATCTTGGGTTTGGAGGGATCCTTCTTGTGCACACGATCATCAAACTCGGCTCCGGTCATGGCAAATCCCGGTTTGGGAGCCCCGGCAGCCAGATCGTTCGGACGTAGAATTTTGCATCCCTTGGCAATGGCCACGGCGGTGGACAGGGCATCTCCGGTGCACATGCGGACATCAATTCCGGCCTTGTGGCATTCCGTAATGGCTCCTGGCACGGATGCCCGAAGTGGATCTTCAATTCCGACAACGGCCAACAAGGTCATTCCCGCTTCGAGTTGTTCCGATGATGCGCCATCCCATCCTTGACTGGGCGTTTCGATAATATCCCGAAAGGCAATGGCGAGCGTTCGCAATCCCTTGTCTTGCCACTCCGAGACGAGATCCATGACATCTTGTTTGCGGCAGTCATCGAATTCTTTGGTTTCGATATCTGTATTACTGTTGATCGAGGTGGCAATTTTGGAGCATTGATCAAAGACTTGTTGAGGAGCGCCCTTGCAGTAGAGTCGAAATGCATTGGGTGGAGTTCCCGTGACAATCCAAGACATGCGTTTACGTTCCGAGGAAAAGGGTACATTGTGGACACCCCAATCGAGCATGGAGGAGGAATCGCGGAATGGTTCTCGTACTTGATCGACCTTATCGAACCCGAGTTGAGCGGTGAGTTTGATCAAGGCACAATCGGTAGGATTTCCTTCGTACAATGCTTCTCCCGTATCCGCCTTGAATGTAACCTTGGACGTGGGTGCGACATTGAGCAAAATGGCCTCGGAGAGCAATTTACTCTTGCCATCGTTTCCAAATTGTTCCTTCATGGTGGCGCCCAAGGAAGTACTGGTACCACCGACAATGTGTTCGTATAAATCTCCCGCAAATTTGGCCTTCATGACGGTCATTTTATTTTCTGTAAGCGTTCCAGTCTTGTCGGAACAAATGGTAGTAGCCGATCCCATGGTCTCTGTGGAATCCATGTGTTTGACTTGATTGTTATCTTTCATCATGCGTTTCATGGAAACGGCGAGGGCGAGGGTAACGGCAAGCGGCAATCCTTCCGGCACGGCCACGACCAAAATAGTAATGGCGGTAATAAAGTAATCCAATACGGTAGAGACATCTTCGACACTCCAATGACGCAAACAGGCGGCTTCATCGCTATCATAATGACAGACTTCCATTTCATCGCAGGCAAATTGATCCGTGGAGAGCGGCGAACAGTTGGCTTCGACGACAAAATCCTTGTAGATCCATTCGACGAGCATGACCAAAAAGACAATCAATGCAACAATGAGTCCACCCTTTCCAATATCGACTGCCAAAATATCGAGTTTTTCCATGAGTCCGGCTCCGGAATCTCCACCCCCAAATGTGAAAAAGGCGCGAAGGGCTCCCATACATCCACCGGGACCGCCTTCCTCGTCCGGTTCGTCGTCTTCATCGGATTGTTCTCGAATGCGTGCTAGAATTTTCCCTTGAATGGAATTGGATCCTACGGCGAGTACGAGGAACAATCCCGTGCCTTGCATGACGTTGGTTCCCGACACGATAAAGGGATCGATATCGGCAGCGCTGTTGGATGTCGAATAAATGGCCTTTTTGATCAATTCGGTTTCTCCCGTCAGCGCGGATTCGTCCATTTTAAGATCGGTGGATGCTTGAAACAAGACGCCGTCGGCAGGTGCAATGTCTCCCACGGCCAATCGTACGACATCGCCCACCACCAATTCGGCGGGATGGGCAGATTGATTCTGTCCATTATTGCGTAGAATATCCACGTGTTTTCCAGATTCGAGTTGAATTTGTTGATTTCGGAATTCTTGTGCCTTGCTGTAGTCCGTGACAGCCGTGACACCGACTACCAAACAGACGGTAACACTGATACTCGTGCCTTCAATCCATCCCTTTTCAAAATCGCGTTCAATGCCCAATCCCAAAATGAGACTGACAATGGCCGATGCCAACAACATGAGCATGGTAGGATCGGCCAACGCGGCTACGATGAGTTCCCAAATATCCGGTTTGGGTGGGAGTGGCAACGCGTTGCTGCCGTACCGTTCTTGCAAGCCTTTTACATTGCTCGTCGCTAATCCATCCTTCAACGTGACACTCGTCGATCCACCCAGCATGGCTTGCGCTAATCCATCGACGCCGTCAAACGCTTTCAAAGCGCCCAACTGTTGTTCCGAAACAATCGTGGCCAAGCCCAAGGGACTCGTCGAATAGCCATCTTTCGTAGCAAACGAGCCGTAAGCGCTCTTGTTCTTATTGGCGCTGCCAGAAGAAAGCAGAGGCTCCGAATCTCCACCAGGCATCTTGCTCTTTGCTCTTTCGTCTGTCTTACTACTAAGTACTGTACCTTGTCAATGGTTTCTTGATAAAGCACCCTCGCTCCAACACACACACACACAGACTGCCTGCCAATACGGAAGTAGAAGCACCAGTTCAGCAGTTGGATATATTGTGTGGGATTGTGTGCCTTCTACTACAGTAGTAGAAAAAGATATCTTGATTGGCTCCATATCTTTTGGGATGATGTCGCCGAAAGATACGATACGGAACAGTGTGAGTTGATCAGGATTGAACAAGAGTCACGGATTCATTTCCACGCTCAGCAACCACGCCCAAGAGGTCGTCAGTCCCGTATTGTTTAGTCAGGTGCACCAACGCCCATTTTATTAAATTTTAATTTTAATTGTTTAAAAACGGCCGTATTGTTTAGTCAGGTGCAAGAACGGGGGTGGAACGTTTTAAATTTTGATTCTTTTTTTATTAAAAACGGCCATTCCAAAATTGGTCCCCAGATTCCAAAATTGGTCCCCAGATTCCAAAATTGGTCCCCACATTCCAAAATTGGTCCCCAGATTCCAAAATTGGTCCCCAGATTCCAAAATTGGTCCCTGACCACAGCCCCCCTCGCTCACCCCTCGCTCCCCTACCCAGACATCGCTCGTAGCCAGCTTTTAAAAGAGTACGAGCTTAGGTGAGGCAACGGAGCTTCATTTCAGCAAACGCTCGTTTCATGCATTCCAGCGAAACGTTGTGGCAAGACCAACTCAAAATCGAACAGGTAGGTGTCAAATCAAAATCAAAATGGTGCTCGTCGACTCCTCCATTTTGCCGTTTAAATTCAAACTGAAACGACCGTCGGCAAAAGGTACGGTACCGGTATTAATAGGTACCATTACCGTCGATCGAGTGGTCGCGGTTGATTGTCGGAGGCTGCTACGAAGTTGAATTGGCCGACCCATTGGTGCCGTTCAATAAGGCATGAATACCGTTATCAAGGTAAGTGTACCCGAGGAAACATCGATCGCGTCTGTGGTTGGTCTGACATGATCCAATAGAGCTGGCGTAGCTGGAAGCGTACCAAGGTGTGCCCATGGGGTTTACTCATTTAGATCCCAAGAGGACTTGCATTTCCTTAGGGGCGGGTGTGGGGGCCCGGGCTCGTGGTTGACAAGAAACCACAAGTTACCTTGGGGGTCACAGAAAAAACACGTGATGAGATTCCACGACTAGTTAATGACACCATCTACTTAAGGGACAGATGTAAAAACACGTGAAGTCTTTGCACGACTGGTTAATAACACCAATTACTTAAGGGGCACCTGTTTTATCACGGAGCGTTTTGCACGACTGTTTCAGCATGGAATCACGTACGTGACTGTGCGTTTTGCAAGACTGTTTCAGCATGGAATCACGTACGTGACTGTATTCGTCTCCCAATCCCACAGTCCGTCAGTAGGCTTTGAGTTTTGGCACCAATGGGTTCGGTTCGCAGCACCTCGTGATCACGGCCCTAGCTAGCTAGTCCAGCCAGCAGCCGGCCTGTATTTGGAGATGGCTGAGCGCACTCAGGGCAACGAAAGAGTATTGGTAGAGAGAGATTTGATCATTCGATACTAGAAGAATGATCGTCAATTGCTAGCTAGTGGAACAGCATGACGTCTTCCTTACAGCAACATGCCCGTAACGTCCGATTGTGTCCGTTTCCTGCGATGTCCAGGTTTCCTAGTGTGAGGTTTGCGTCCTCCTCGTCGCACCGCGGCATCAAACAACATGCGCTGGTGTTCACTTTCCAATTCTGGTGGTGGCAATGAACCGCGCTTCATGATCAGCCCCGCACCCTGCAACATCATGGACGAGTTCGTGGATTCTTGGTTCTTTTCAGCTTCGATCTCTGCATGACGTGCTTGAGACTTGATGTCAAACTCCTTGGTTGCCTGGCAAACGGCGAGGCGGAAGTCACGATGCCTCTTGTATTCTTCACGAGTGGCCAACAGCGGAGCTTTGGAGTCAGCAGCAATTAACTCGATCAAGTCGCCTTCCGCAGACAGAGAGGGGCGAACGCGAGGTGGGAAGGACACGCGGCGGCGTTGTTCTGAATCCAACGACAGTTCGTCGAAGGACTTGGATCGTTTTCGATTGTAGGCGCTCTGTCTCTTCTTTGGTGAAGGGGCCTCCTCTTCGAGAATTGTGGAGGGTATTCTGTGGTGTCCACCGCTCGGTCGTTGATTCATTGTCGGAAGTTGGAGGTCCGCCTTGTCGCTGTCATCCAAGCCCTTGAAATCCATAACGAGACTGGACGCAACAGGGCTCCAAACCCTGGATGGTCGCCTTTGTTCTTTCCTGCGTGTTTGGCCTTTCATAAGGATCAAGAAATCATCGTACGATATCCTTCCCTGCTCACAGCTGCATTGTTCCATGCTTTCTGCCCACATGCATTTCAGATTTTCCAACGTTTCAGGGGCGTGTCCGAGAAGATCAGTCAGATCGTTGAAGCAAATGTATCTGTATGTTGAACCAAAAACGGGTTAGCCAATCCAAAAGACCCAGGCAGAAAGAACAACCCGAAACCCGAAAGCTTCTCAGAGACGAACGTACCCCTTCCGATCAGTATCTAGGCGGTCAAAGGCCAGCTGTAGATTGCGGTCGTCGTATTTGCATTGGCTGAGACCAGCGGCGATAAACTCGTGCCAGCGGATTGTGGAATCGTTTTTGTTTACTCGCAGAGCGTCAAAGATATCTTCCACTTCCGCCTCAGTCAGTCCTCCAAGTGCGCCGGCACCAGCGCTATTCGTGAGCACTTGCTTCATGGCTCCAAGTGTAATCTCGCCATCGCCGTCTTTGTCAATCTTCTCAAACTCTTCGCGCAGCTCCACGATTTGTGCTAAATACGGCAATGCGAGCTGGGGAGTCAGCGGAATTGTCACTAGGCAGATTCTTCCTCCTCTTTCTGTGTCTTACCTGGCAAGAGCGTAAAGCTAAGAACTTCATGAAGAAGCCTCCTCATTTCCGAGTATTCTTTGAAACTGACGAGAGCGTCCACGATACCAGGCGACAGCTTGTTGCCTTCACAGGAACCTTTTTTGCCGTATATCTGCAGCCACTCGTCCCTTTGCACTTCCTTCGCTGTAGGTCGCAGTTCTGGATCCACATTGAGTAATCGCGACACAAAGGCCTTCGCTATGGGACTGACATGACACCAAATGTCGGCTGGTTCAAAGGAGAAGGAACCCGAGAGAATACTTTGCCGGACCGCGGCCAAACCTAAAAAGGTCCAAAATTAGAAGAGTTCGGCGAATGATGATGAGAATGCCCGTCTTGAGAGAGACACATCAATTCACGCCCCCAGCTAATTTGCTGGATAGACGTACATTCGTTTTCATAACATCCGCCGAACGGGGTCTCGCCACTGCAAAGGATCCACAAAAACCGTGAGCACTTGTTCCGTTATTCGACTTGCAGGCATCCCCACCTGCAAGCAAATTGGGCACATGCTACGGTACATACCTCAAGAGCAAGTAGGTGATCACACCGACACTCCAGATATCGGCCTTTTCGTCGTAAGATCCTTTGATGACTTCGGGAGCACAGGTATACGGGGTTCCCACGGACTCTGTGAGCGGTCTTCGTTCTTGGTTCTCGTCCAAGTCAAAATGCTTTGACAGTCCAAAATCTGCATCCAACCATCCAATCCAACCATCCAATAATCGAAGCACAAGCAAAAGTGTACCATAAGCAAAAGTAAGTGAATGTGGCAATATCATAGACATTCATTCCCGGCACGATGAGGGTGTGCGTACGTACCAATCATCTTGAGTTCACTATCCGGTTCCGATGAGGAAAAGAGAAAGTTCTCCAACCTGCGAACGACGAGACAGACAAAGTACGGGGGTCAATGCGAGTGCAACTGCGAACTGCATGCAACACTATCCTAGTATAACTACTACTGTACTTACTTGAGATCCCTGTGAATGACCCCCTTGGAATGCAGATAGCGCACCGCCGAGACCATTTGCTTGATGAGTTTGGCACATTGTGCCTCTGTGTAGTGTACATCCGGCTGGTCTTCGAGCCGGTCAAACAAATCTCCTCCGAGGCAGACCTCTTGCACGAGATAGATAGTGTTGGGGCTCTCATAGACCTCCTGGCAGGCAAACCAGAAAAGAAAAAGAAAGAAGAAGAATCATGGATGGATCAGGTGAGGGGATCAGGAGGGATCAAGCATGCACGCAAACTCTGCACCTAGCTAGGAAGCACATGGAGTTCTGTAGTTTAGTACATACCTCAATTCGAACAATGTTGGGATGATCGAGTTGACACATGATGGAAATCTCATCCCTGAGCTGTCGCAAGACGGCATCGGTCTGTACCAATCCAATATCTAGAATCTTGCAGGCGTACTGTACCCGAGTGGCTCGATGTGTCACCAACCGAACGACCCCGGCCACACCGTCTCCCAAGTAGGGTCCATCATGTACGCCTTCGTAGATGGATTCGATGGGTTGACCAAAGGGTGTCTAGCAGATAGAGATCGAGAGATCAGGTGAGTTAGCCAAGTGTCAGTCAAGATTTCCTAGCTTGCCTTGAGTTGATGAACTAAGTAACAAAGTAACTCACCTCCAATCGGACCACAGTTTGCGTGAGACCTCCATTGGAATGCATGAGATTTCTCATACTAATGAGATGGAGTGGATCCATAGCCGGACGACTACTGCTGGTCTGGTCTTCCTGATCTTCTTCTTCTCCATGACAACTACTGGACAGGGGTGAAGACGAAGCACCGGAAGAATAGCCACGGTTGGCAGCCCAACCTGGAGGAGAAGGAGGAGCTGCGAGAGAAGAGTCGTCGGCAGTGGTTGTCACGGTCTCGGTGGGTTCCGCCGTCGCATGATGGGGATGGTGTTCATTGGTTGGAGTTGTTGTCGGTGTCGCAGTGCCATGGTCCTTTTGACTCCCGGTGGACTGCGTGTCAGGCGAAGACGAACCCCCTGGTTACATTACATTCAGAGAACAAACAAACACAGTCAGTGAGAGATAGACAGACAAGAGAGGTCAGACGTGTCAACATGGCGATCAGCCTTGAGCTGAGAAGAACCCTGTTGAGCCTGGCTAGCTAGTCTTACCTTGTACCTTTGGTTTGGCCACCGCACCTCCACTTGCCTCATGGTCGACGGCTTTGGTTGTTTGGCAGTTTCCCATGGTACAGCTGTAGGGCACGTATTGTGTGTGACTTGGTTTTGGTTGCCAAAAGGTAATGTGCGTGAGAAAGAATTCTTTTTTATCAGCTCTCGTCAATTGATGCTCGACAGCTGCGGTACGAAAAAGATAAAAGACAAAGCCCCGTTTGGGATCGCTTTTCCAGACTGGAACATTGCACTGGACTATTGAAACACCGCTGAAAACCCGGCAACAAAAGCGAACCATCCCAAAATCTTCCCCCCAAATTTATTAAGGAGCCAATACGAACGAAGGATCGTGGAAGTTCTCCCTACGGTTACTGGTAGTCCCAATGAGAACATGACAATTGGGGGTGAGTCGAGTCTCAGTCAGTCAGACAAGCATGTAGTGGTACCGGTACCGTTATTACTGATGCCTGTCTGAAACACTGGGATGCGAGGGTCTGGGAGTGTGGCAGTCGTCACCGCATGGCGCTCTCCGAGAAGGTCGAGGATAAAGAGATAACAAGTACTACCTAGTAGTCTGCATACGGAACTGGCCCTCACCAGCTGCTATCATAATATCTATCTGAGAATGCGGCAACCGTTAGATCATCGGGTCAGCACACCACGGTCACCAGATAGTACAGAACACTCTCTAATACTACATGTACCAGTATGGCAGACCGAGAAAAAAGAAGAAGAAAGGATCCGAATGGAGATGCAAGAGGGGAAGCATTGGCACTTAATGGTGGAAGTCAATAAGCAACCCGTACTGTACCATTCATTCAAGCAATCCAACACCATGTGAGTTGGTGTTTGGCCCGTCAGGGTTTCAAGAAGCATCGGGCCTGTCGGTTTGGTGGCAGAGCGACCAAGAAGGTTGCCGTCGACTTTGCTTGCTTCGTCAGAGCCAGCCAACGGGTCCGGAACATAATTTGTCTATCAACCAGAAGTGCGTTGGTAGTCTAGGGTTTGGCCATCGTTGAGCCAGCTACCGGTAGCTAATAATCAAAGATAATCTACCTACTCTAAACCCCCTGCTGGACCGTCCGACGGACTTCTCTCAGGCTTTAAAACCTGCCACGACTGACTCAAAATCCTGGTTCTCGTTTTAAAAGCGGATGTAAGAGGATGTGAAGATTTAAGAGTATGTTTAAGGGAATGTTGAGTGTTTAAGAGGATGTTGTTAAGAGGATGTTTATTTAAGAGGATGTTCATTCGTGATAAGAGGAAGTTCTATGGCGTTTCAATGAAGGCTTAAGAGGATGTTTCGAAGCTTTAAGAGGATGTTTAAGAGGAAGTTGAAGATTTAAGAGGATGTTAAGAGGATGTTAAGAGGATGTTTAAGAGGATGTTGTCAGTCGTGGCAATTTCAATGTTTTTAAATCCTTATCGAAAACCGTCGGACGGTCCTGGAGACCACCGCTGGGCTGATGTTGCCTGTGTCTACCTTGCTTATTATTATCTATCCTACTTCATTGTTGCTGTGGGTTTCGTTGATGATTTCATGTCCTGCGCGTCCTCCGACCTTCGTCTCATCACAAGATCGGAAGATACCGGTACGGTATAGGTTGCCGCCATGACCTCTCCCAAAGGCTGCTACCGTATGCTGGGGCTATCCGAGCCAACTAAACGCAACCCCAACAACCCACAATGTACCATGAATGCCTATACGTAAAACTCACTTCCAAAGGCCAAGACAGGTTCCCCAAAACAGTGAGTGTAAGAAGAAGGAAGAACTCGAATAGAGACGGCAGCATGGAGAAGGTCAACTCCCTGAGCTCCGCTTCTAAAGGAGTGTGGGTGTCGGTTCTGGTATGGATGTTCCTGATTTACCTTCAGGTTCCAACAATGATGACACGAAGCTATTACAACATTTTTTTGGGCAAGAAACTGGCTCCTCCAGGCTACCGTTTTCGACCACAAGTGATTCTGCAAGATGAACCCCGTGTGTTTCCTTCCTCTACCTTTGATGGCATCCTAGCCGAGATAGAAGAAGAAGAGAAGGGAGGTGAAGAAGAAGATGAGATGGGTCCACATCTCAATGAAGACGACAATATCAGTGAGGAGGAGGAGGAAGAAGAAGAAGAAGAAGAAGATCCCTGTCCACAAGGCCGGGTCTTGGTGGTTGGAGCCGCTGGCAGTGTGGGCAGTTCGGCCACCAAAATGCTGCTGGAACAAGGATTCTGTGTCCGTCTCTTTGTGACCGACAATCACAGACAAGTCAAGAAGAAACTCCAGAGCTTGTTTGACAAGAACGACAATCAAACATACTTTTTGGAAATGGTTGAGGGCCACTTTGGTGACTGTTCTCTGGATGGTGCATTGCATTCGGTCACACATATTCTCTTTGCCGCCACCAGTCACGGAAAGTCTTGGCAGGTGGGGCATCATCACGAGGTGGCCGAATGTGCTGTGGCTGCAGCCCAAGTTGGCACCATCCAATCCATGGTGGTAATGAGTTCGGCAGGGGTCGGCAAACCGTATTCCCTCGGATCCATCCTCTACAACAGTTGGTATGGAGATCTTTCCTCGGTGCGTAATTATCAAGGAGAAGATACCATGGGGTCCATTGCTGTGCAGAAAGAAGACTATGTGGATGTCAGCTGTGATGACTATGATGGTGCTAGCAATCAGATCTGCACTCGACGAGCAACCGCGCCACTCAACTATGTCATTCTTCGTTCTGGGAGTCTCGAGCAAGATGGAATCCACGATGATGAACAGCAGGGAATTGATGGCTTTGGTAAAACCAGAACGGCTCCTGGCATGAGCCATGTGCAACTGGCTCGAGCCGCTGTGGCAGCACTGATTGTACAAGGGAGAGACGCAGACGAAGTGACCCGTGGAGAGGCTGATCCCAGGGAATCTACTGCACTGTTCAACATGCTCGTTCAAGACAATGACAGTTTCTACCACGCCAACCGAACCGTGACAGTAAAAGATGTCGAAACCGTTCATGCGCAGGCAGTGGCAGACTTTTTAAATATCCTCTGGGCACTCTTTGTGGGCACCTGCCTGCTTGTAGTTATTCTGGGAGCCCCGCAAGGCCTTTGCTTATCCATGACACTGTACATCATTACCATTCTGATGTGGACATGGCTCTTGTCCGGCCGCACTGTTTGGGACTCCCTGGAATCTGGATTTCAGCCAAGGAGTGCACCCTTCATAATGAAGATGCCGGGTTTATCCTTGTTCATGGGAATTGATCAATCTTAAGACATGCTTGTAGCATTTGCCGTAACAGCTATGAATTCAACCCCAGGCGTCCAGTTGCTCTTTCCCCACCGTTTTGCATGAGCAAAGCACATTTGTTCTACAATCATGATAGATACTCCACAATAACTAAAATTGAGACTGCTCCCAGTACCTTTCCAACCACTGTAGACTACCCCAAGTTGCTCACAAGCCTTTCAGTGCTATCACTGTTCTAGTGGCCTACTAGCAACAAGAGCTACAAGCAAAAAGAAGCAAAACACAGTAGCAGTAGCACTAAGCAACAGCGTGTTGCGATAAAGAAACTCTTTTGGAGTAAAAACTGTTAGGTTGCTTGTTGTCGTGCTTTTCTTGAAGAGTCTTGTCAATCCAACGGCACATGCTGCCGTCATGTATGCATGGGCGTATCCCCACAACCGAGCTTCCAAATCCGACAAACTCACCCATTGTTTTGGATTGTGCTCTTGGCATCACTCGGGTCCCGCTCACACATCGACTGAAGAGCATGGATCCAAACGCCGAAATGTCCCGTGCTCTAAGATAGGCGTCCTCTCGGTCTTCATCTTTTCGCGCTGGTACCGGATTGTCGAGTGTAACCCCAAACGAAATGGTATTTGTAGGACAGTTCAGGATCCATTTTCCATATTTTGTTGCCACTTGTTCCAGTCGCATGGGAAAGGTTTGCAGCATCTCTTGTCGTCGTTTGGCAAGTATCCCCTTGTATCCATTCATTCCCACGGACAAAAGTGTAATGAATAAATGTAGAATGGGCGATGAGGATGCTCTAGCTAGCTGCGTATACCTTTCCAACACCTTGATCGAGTGCCTTTTGCGGTGATAGCACCAGGGCACACGACAAACTGTACCGTATTCCAAGCCAGTAGCTGCAAAGATGATGGCAATAGATGCTGGGTAGCACGTACCTACTAGGTCTGTGGACATTGGAGTCAATAGGCATTGTTGATGACATGATGAACTCCATGCCGCATGCCGCCTTCTCGTTCTCCCGCTCCGCACCATCGAGATTCATCATTCCCACTGCTTCCATCGATGTTTGTACATGCCTTGTTGTTGTGGACAAGAGGAAAACGAAGCTTTGAATTTGGACATCCGACCAACCTGCATCACCCAACCGTCGCTTCACAAACAGTGACCGTTATTGCCTGGTGGCAGCCAGCCACCATGTTGCAAAAGCCGGCTGTGGCGCTGTGGCATGATTCCTGGGGATCTTGAGCAATTCAAATGTTTTGGCTACTTCATCTTGGTCAAGGCTGCTCATGGTGCATAGGGAAGTTAAGTTGCTTCGTCCTCTGCTCTGGATGTCAACTAGCTAGCTACAGGCCAGACTACCGGTAGCCAGCGTTCGTTTCCTTCCAACGGTACCGGTTCATGCAACCACGTTATCTTGCTTCCAGTCGCTTTTGCCGAAGGAGACCAATTTGTGAGCTTGCTGCCCGCGGTTGCAACGGCCCGAGAGCCGTTAGAAGGATCGACTCCCGTTGCTCGCTATCATACTGTAGTTAGTTTTGTTCGTCCATCGACCAAAGGAACCGAAAAAGAATGAGCTTTGGAGCACCTCCATGGACGACAATGGATCTTGCTACGAGACTAGCTCTTTGCACTTAGCCAAGACAAACCTGCGTACCTGCTGCAGCTGCCGTTGCGCAAGTAAAATGGGGATATCAAAATATCAAATAATAGAAATCGTTGCATGCATTGCATGAGAAAACCAACAACAACAACACTGACTTGAGAGAGATTCCATTTGCTGGATTGATTGATTGATTGATCGATTAGTGCTAACCAGATCGAGGAGGAGCCCTCGTTGACAATCCAAGAACTCAAGATGTTACGCCTCATTGATTTCGTCCTCGTCGGTATGACTGTCCTCGTATTGGCAGGAACCGGAGCTTGCAACGCCGCCGAGGAGGAAACAAGTAACAATAACCAGCTTCGTCGCCACCGAAGGCTGGTTTTGGAGCAAGATGCGGTTCTAATGGACAACGTCGAAACCAGCTTTCCGGATGTGCCTCAGTATGATGGAACAGAGCAGGATGAAACCGTTTACGTCTTTAAACATACTAGCGCGGACATTCCACAGGGGCGAACTGTCAAGTGCGTGCTCTATTGCACCAAAAAAGGTTGGCGGGACACTGCCATTTCGTTTCACGAGGGGTTTCTCCCAAACGCCTATTCGGATAAAGACGCAAGGACTACTGGTGATTGTCCTATCCACAGTGGATACACCATGACTCAAACAGGACCTCTCTATGTCTTTCTGGCCAACTACAATAGTGGTGGTCTTGTCAACGGAAGGCTCCTGTGCAAGACACTTCCAGAGACTCTGTCATTGGATAGCATTCTTCAACAGGGTGTTGAATCTAGCTTTTCGGATCTACCACAGTATCGACCAATGAACGAGGACGGGTCTGTGCAAGTCTACCAGATCACAGCCAATGATATACCTGCAAGCACATTGGTGAGGTGCTCCTTGACTTGCATCAACAAGGGCTTTCTTCAAACAACGCTCTCCTATCATCAGGGTACACTGCCAACCAACTACGACGACAAGGATGTTCGACATACTGGAAACTGCCCCATAACAAAAGGCTTCACCACAAACAAGGCAGGACCTGTGTATGTGTTTGCAGCGAATCTCAACGGGGCTGGGCTGGTGGGTGGCATGATGCGATGTGGTGTTCTCCCTGCCACTCTTTCCACGGATGGCACGTTGGTCGATGGGGAGGCAACTGGGTTTGCCGATCTAGACGCATATGATGAGATTGATGAAGACATCACTGTTCAGGTGTACAAGTTCACTAGTGAGGACATTGAAGCAGGCACCACGGTCCGATGTGCCTTGGATTGTACCAATATGGGTTTTCTCTCTACCTCAATCTCTTTTCGTGAAGAAGATCTGCCAAGGATCTATGCCGACGATGATAAGACTTCCAATGGCAACTGCGACTTTCACAGTGCATACACCATGAAGCGCACGGGTCCACTCTACGTCTATTTGGCCAACCGCAACAGTAACGGCCTGGTGAATGGAGTTGTTACGTGCAAGGCAATCCCTGAAGCTTTGTCAGCTGATGGAACGTTGGCTGATAATGTGGCAACAAACTTTACCGATCTACCAAAATACAGTGTTGTCAATGAAGATTTGACCGTCCAAGTCTACAAATTCACCGAGACTGATGTACCCGCTGCCGCCACAGTTAGATGTTCCTTAGACTGTGTTGCTACTGGTCTGCTTGATTCCACAATGACTTTCAAGCAAGGATCCCTCCCGACTACCTTTGATGACACGCATGAACGACAGAGTGGCAGTTGCCTTTACACTGGCGACTACACAATGGTCAATACGTCTCCCCTTTATGTCTCAGTGACTAGTTTGACGGATAGTGGTTTGGTGAATGGCAAAATCAAATGCAAGGTTCTGCCCTCGGATCTAACGGTGGATGGAGTTCTTGCCGACGGTGAATTGGCCAGCATTCCATATCTGCCAAAATATGATGACATGGATGAGGATGGGACTGTCCAGGTGTACAGGTTTTCCAATCAATCCATACCAGTGGGAACAACAGTGACTTGCTCTTTCGATTGCACTAGCAGTGGCCTTCTATCTACTACACTCTCTTTCCAGGGAGGAGCTTTACCAACTGACTATACCAACCGAGATGAAAGAAGAAGTGGCAATTGTCCGTTTCAAGATGAATTCGTCATGACCCGCTCCGAGGACTTGTATATCTTTGTGGCCAACACTCACAATTCAGGCATTTTGAACGGCCAGCTGACATGCTCAACATCACCACAGTTGACTCCTTGGCCAACCCCAAATCCAACCGCCAGCCCTACTCCTGCACCCACTCGAGCTCCTACTCCACCACCAACCCCCGTGCCCACGCCCAGTCCAACGCCTCTGCCCACGGATCCTCCCATTGAAGTTGAAGGTTGTGTGTATGAAGTGTATCAATTTATCAGTAAGCAGGTGACATCCTTCATGCAACGATTTGGCGCCGCCTAGTCTAGCTAGGCCCCACTCTGACCTGAGTACTAGTTTTAGTCAGGAGCCAATGCTGCCTTGTACGTAGGGATCGAGTGTCAACCACAGGAGAGGCACAGGAAAGGGGCAACCAAGGTTCAAATAATGTGTGTAGTTAATTTAAAAAAATACGGAATACTTACAATGGAGTGTTTTGCATAATTCATGTGTCGGGTTTTGTCATGCTGTGACGGGGCTGTACGCAGGTGCTTACGCTTCTGCTCTTCTTGACTCTTTTAGCTAGCGGCTGGCTGGCTAGTTATGGTACGGAGCGGATGCAGATAGCCAATGTTGTTGCCCGACAGACTGATGGGCCAAACAAGCAGCTGACCACACGTGCAACGTTCAGC